CTGTTTCCCCATTTTCAAAACTAGCTTGAGTTCTGAGTTCATTTTTTTTTAACCCTTCTTTTTTTGCTTTTGGTTTTTAAGGGGGAGCCATTGTTACTACAACATGTTTTTCTAGTCACTGGGGAGTCTGTTCTGTGTATAAAAGGGCCCTCCAGACTAGAATGACACCAGAGGTTGTCCTCCATATAACATATACTGTATTTTTTGTCCATAGTAAGAATTTCTCTCTCTCTCTCTGCTCTTTCTTTCACACTCTCATATGAGTGATAACATTATCCATGTACTAACTTGCAGAGCCAATGTGATCATTTATCATGCACGTTTGATCACTTTGCTTCCTAATCCATCTCCCCTGGATTTATTCTAAGAGTATGTCTTCACTACTGGCCGGATCAGCGGGCAGCGATCGATCCAGCGGGGATCGATTTATTATGTCTAGTCTGGACGCCATAATTCGATCCCCGAGCGCTCTCCTGTCGACTCCTATACTCCAGCTCGGCGAGAGGCGCAAGCAGAGTTGACGGGGGAGCGGCAGCAGTTGATTCACCGTAGTGAAGACACCGTGGTAAGTAGATCTAAGTATGTCGACTTCAGCTACATTATTCACGTAGCTGAAGTTGCGTAACTTAGATCGATCCCCCCCCCCCCCAGTGTAGACCAGGCCTAAGAGCTCGTCTGCATGGGGAAAAACCCACAGTAGCTGATGGGCACTAGCTGGTGCATGTAGCTACTCCGCACTAACACCCCATGTGAACACTCTTACTGCGCACTAAGAGTACCTTTGAGCACATTAGCTTAATGCACTTTGGAAGTGTGCTAAACTAATTTGCCTAGAGGAACATTTTAGTGCACAGTCAGTGTCCTAACAGGGAGTGAGTCTGGAGTAGCTAAAGTGCTGTAAATTCACACCCTAGCTTACTGTGTCTTAACTTCCCCATGTAGACAAGCCCTAACATTCCAAACTCTAAGCAGCTTCAAATAGTCACTTGCTTTGATGGTCATCTGAAGTGCTTGTAAACTGCAGGACACCTAGGTTAATGTAACTTGAAGGTTGGAGTTATCAGGTTTACATTGTTGTCTTTCCCAGAGGAGTTTCAGTTACTTGACCGGCTGGTATCATAAGCTCTGAAGGTTTCTGGCCACACCAGGTCTAAGTGCCCTTTTCTGAATTGCTAATTCACTGTCATTGAAGCCACTGGGAGTTCGGCCTGAAAAAGGAGTAGGCAAGAGTGCCGAGTACATAAGAGAACCATTCTCCGTTAAGATATTGTTAAATCAAATGTCCTTAAACCGACTTTCGTGTTCTGTGAACTGGCTGAAAAACCTAAGAATCTCCGCCAGCTTTTCCATCAGACTCCAGCATCGTAACGGGGGTGGTCTTCTGTATTTACCTTAAGGGCTAGATCTTCAAAAGGACTCAGCTCCGAATTAGGCACCTAATGAAACGTGACCACGTTTTCAAATTGCTCAGCACCCGGCAGCTCTTGGTATTCTTGATGGGAGCTGCAGGGGAGTACTGAGTGCATATGAAAAATCTGTCCACTTGATCAAGGGGTGGCATTTTCAAAAACACCTATGTGAATTAGGAGCATGAGTCCCAATCCCTCCATTGGGCCTTGACCCTGCCTTTGTTGATGTCAATGGCAAAGCTCCCATTGATTTTAATGGTGCAGGATCATGGCCTAGGGGCTTAAATAGGAGCTGAGCTCTCTTGAAATCTGGCCCCCTATTTAGGTGTCTAAATGGGAGGTGTTGGGTCCTGAACACCTTTGAACATCTGGTCTTTGCAGTGCATGTCTAGTAATTGTACAGAGCCAAGACTGAGAAAAAGCTTAAAATATGGAATCTGCTGATCTTTTTTTTTTTTTAAGTAAAAAATGTCAATAATAGTAAATGCTCATCTTACTACTAAGTTGTGGCTGCAGTGGGGCTGGAAGAAGTGGAAGCATCTTGAGAGTGGGAGCGGGGGCATGAAAACTCAACTAGGAACAACTAGGGCCATGTGCCACATGCGTCCTCTTCTTCTTCCCCTCCCCCCCCCTTGCCTTCAATATGTGTATGGGGCGGTTGCTTCTTTCCCTTTCCCTTCTCCCCACCCTCTGTACTGCAGGACTCAAGGAAGGGAAAAGCTATTGTATGCTGCCTCTTGGCACTGGAGACTCCCCTGCTCACTGCTGCTGCCATTGGTCAGTGGTGGATGATAATAGGAGGGGAAAACTGGAGGGGAAGGAAGGTGGCTGCTGTTTGCTGCCTAGGCAAGTAGCTATTTTTGGCTTCCCAGTACAGTGGCCATGGGCACCGCCATCCATGGTGAGGGCGTCTGCACCAGTGTCTTGCACACCTTAGAGCACCCTCATGTTATCTGTGCTATCTCCAGCATGAAGGAAGGAAGTGGGCTGGGATGCTGGTTTTGACAGACCTGAGTGTGTAATGGGCCCATGGTGTTGACACCCACCCTCCGGTTTATAGTCTACACGGGCCACTGGTGCCAGTTGAGACCCACCTCTAAGAAATCATGAGGCAGTGTGATATTGGGTTAGAAAATGGTCTGGTTTTCGGTCCCTGTGACCCAATGGACTGCCTGGGCATTGATCCTGAGTACAACAATGCATGGTGAAAGGGTACGCCTCCATGTCTTGCATAGCCTATTGCTGGCTTCATCTTATCTCTGGTGTGGAGGAGGGAGGCTGGGCAGGACTCTTGCTTCCAGTCAGGATCCCTGGGTAGGCCTGAGGGTGTAGAGGGGGCATGTCCTTCGCACTCACCCTCATGTTTGCTGTCCCAGGGCCATTGGTGTACTAGTTGAGGTCTATACTGGAACAATTCCACTGGGTAGCGTGAGGTTGTGGCTACCCAGTTTGTTAATAGTTGTAAATAGAGTTCAGGCCTCCACATTTAACCATACTGTAGTGTATGTTTCTCATTGTTCCTGGGTCAACATCCGATAAACTTTGCAGGGCTGCAGAACTTAAACTGTTAACAGACTGGAGAGGGCTCACTACTGAATTTGCTAATTCAACAAATCAGTCATGGGACTGAACTTGGAAAGCTGATTTTAACAGAAGTTACAGATGCTTAGCACCTCTGAGATTCAGGCCCTAAATGCTACAAGAAATGGTGGATTCTTTCAAAACATGAGACCCGAACAAGTGTGCTTTATAAGTTACAACACTTTTCTATGTGGAGTGGAGCAGCTTCTTGGTAACCATTGCTCCATTATATCTGAGGTTCTTAAAATATTGTATTTTCTTTTGATCCATTTGAAGTCAAGTTAACATATTGTTAAAGTATTATTTCAGGTTAATTAAGCTGTAAATGAGCTTAATGATCTGCCTGAACCGAAGCTCAATAACAAGCTATGTATTAACTCCCAAAATCAAAAGAACCTTTAAATTTCTTGCCAACTGTATTGAAGACGATAGAAACAGACAATCAATAATGTTGCCCTTCTTAGAAAATCGAGTCTGAAGCTGAAGAGCTTGAAATAAATGAATTTTAATGCATGCACTCAGATTCTCCAGATAAATTCAAAAAGGGCTTGAGAACCTAAGTCAAGTCTGTTGGAAAAAAATGAAAAAGAAGACACTGAAGACAGAAAAAGACATAGTTGCCTCCCCTATATTTTAGTATTGGGGATCAAATTGTACCTACAAGTAGCCAGATTGCAAAGTCTATATTGTAATAAGATTATAGTTTAGATCTTCTGTCTTGGGTAATATTTGGAAATCCCTGCAACCTCTCAAAATGTTCTGTTATTATGGGGGAGTGAGGTTGATAAGATAGAGCAAAGGACTTGTCATCACTATTCCTTGGGCAAAAGTATTGACACTGCTAGATTTGCATAATGGATGAATTTTGTCCCTGGGAATAGAAAACAGTATTGCCACTGACAAAGCAGCCACAGGCAAACCAGTTAGGGGAATGGGGGCTACTAACATTAGTGAAGTTTGCAGGATGGGGCCATTGAGGGGCTAATCCTGAGAGATGCTGAGATCTCCCAGCTCCTAATGATCTAAATTTGAACTGCAGGTGATCTGTACTTCTCAAGATTGGGCCTTGAGTCTCTCTGAGCCTCAGTTTATCCATCCATAAAATGGATATATCAAAATTCTTCCCCACCACAAGATCATGGAGAGATGTATTCATTACATTAATTAATATAAAGTGCTTCAGCTGCCAGTGCTTTAGAAGTGAGAAATGTTATTGTGTCTGAAATTCATGAGCATCTGCAATGTTTACCTAATATACTCCTGCTAAGTGAGAATAGCGTTCATATACAGTTTGACTGGACCATAATCAAGTTGTCGATTACCCAGGTAAGATTTGGTTAATTGACCTGTAAAATAGCTGCAAACTTCCCATAATGACAGTTCTTCCCTCTGAAAAGAGAATGTAATGCATGATAGTTATGGGAACTACATAGTAAAATGAACCACAATTATTCTATCCCAGAGAAACTCATCAAGGAAAAAGCAGGACAGGGACACAAGTCAAATATTTTATTTATTTATGACACTGTAATGAGCAGTTAAAAGAGGGGGACTTTGTAAAAAATCAAAAGGCAAGAATCTTAGAAGAAGAATGAATCGTGTTCCATCCACCCTTTTGCTTTCTCAGTTCTGAACATTTCTTTTTCCAGTAGTTGTGCACTTCCGCACCTCTGTGTGTTATCTGTAGGGCAATTACTGAAGTTACTAGATGATTTTTTTTTCTTCTCAGTCAAGTGCTTTCAAAGGACGTTTTCTATCACATTGTTACTTATCTACAATCTATCAAGAACAGAGGCAGTGCAGTAGTAATACAGTACCTTACTCTTCATGCTCTGGGAATGTATTATTTATGGACTATGAAATTCAGTTTCACTCAAGTATTACATCTTTCTCCTGATGTAAATAATTAATGCTGGCTTGAACAAAAAAACGTGTGTGTGGTCATTACTAGAAAATAGTAACTATTATTATTGTTAATAATACTAATACTAATAACAATCCTTGTTTTAGTTCCACGCCACAGTAAAGGAAGGAGTCACGGGAGTGATGGTGAATTTATCGGTTGAAGACCGCGATGACCCAGCAACAGGAGCCTGGAGAGCTGTGTATACTGTTATCAATGGAAACCCAGGACAGAGTTTTGAAATCCATACCAATCCAAAGACGAATGAGGGGATGCTCTCTGTTGTCAAAGTAAGGACAATTTGCTTTTGTATAATTTATTATTACTGTGAGGTGCATTACACATGAAAAGGACCAAGTACTGAAATTAGCTAGTCGAAAGTATTTTGGTGGCTAGCAGTTCAGTTTAGGCAATACATGTCACTCCTTTTGTGTTACAATAACCCTGCTGGATCCCGCTTACTGGAAGCTAGTAACTCTGCTACTATGCTAGAGTATGTGGTGTGGTTTTGTTGTGTGGCTATATATACACAGAGAATGAGACGGAGACAACACAACTTGTCTGGTGCTGAACTTGGACCAGCCAGCAGGATGTAGCCAATGATGGTGATGGAGGCGCTGTCCCTTTGTGGCTAATTCTGTCCTTACAAGCTTGGGTGAATGTTATACGTGCTCTTTGCATCTGGTACTCTGATTTCTTGACATGTCTTACAGCCTTTAGACTACGAGATCTCAGCATTCCACACACTGCTGATCAAAGTAGAAAATGAAGACCCGCTGGTTCCAGACATAGCCTACGGCCGCAGTTCTACAGCAACAGTTCAGATCACTGTTCTGGATGTAAACGAAGGCCCTGTTTTCCACCCAGACCCAATGACAGTGACCAAACAAGAAAACATTCCCATAGGCAGTGTTGTGTTAACAGTAAGCGCCACAGATCCAGATATCTTGCAACACCAGACTATTGGGTAAGTGAAATATTCTTTACTCTAAGTCTACCAAAAAGTGAATACAAATGTCTGTTGTGCCTGCAGAGCTTGGCTGTTAGTACCACATTCAATTAAATTCATTTGGGATCTGGATTATAAGGAGTGAGGATTTTCTTTTTCATAATGAAGAGCTTCATTATCAGGAAGACAAAGAACTACGTGAGGCAGGTGACAATAGTTTTCCATGTTATAAGTTACTGCAATAGAACAAGCCAGTGCCACAAGCGGCGGAGTGAAATAGTTACGGTACAGAGTTCTTTGAATGATTTGTAACCTGCTTCTAATTCCTTCCCCGCCGTCCCCACCCCACCCCTGCCCAGGAGATCACAAGAAAACTGTTGTTGTTGTTTTTAACTTTAAACTAGTTTATGAGAATAATTTCTCTGTTTTTCAGATGGATGAACCAGGCTTATATTTATTTCTAACGTCTTTAATGAAGTAATTATTATCCACCGAGATTCAAGGGCTACAGGGATAATAAATGCTCCTCAACTAAGCAATGGCATCTAATAATAAACTTACTTCTGGATAAAGGCCAACTAAGAGAAATGCAAGGATCATAGACTCACAGAAATGGGGGGCTGGAAGGGAACTTGAGAGGTCATCTAGTCTAGCCCTCCGCACTGACACAGGACCAAATAAACCTAAACTACCCCAACGGGTGTTTGCCTAAACTGTTCTTGAAAATTTTCAATGACAGGAATCCCACAACCTGCCAGGAAGCCTATCCCAAGACTTAACTATCTTTAAAGTTAGAAAGTTTTTCTCAATATCCAGTCTAAATCTCTCTTGCTGCAGATTAAGATCATGACATCTTGTCTTACCTTTGGTGGACATGGAGAACAACTGGTCACCGTCCTCTTTATAACAGCCTTTAACTTTTCTCATAGGTTAGGTTTTCTAAACTTTTTATCAGTTTTGTTGCTTTCCTCTGGATTCTCTCCAATTTGTCCACATCTTGCCTAAAGTGTGGCGCCCAGAATTGGATACAATACTCCATGTGAGACCTAAGCAGTGCTGAGTAGAATGGGACAACTACCTCCCTTGTCTTACATACAACACTCCTGTTAATACACCCCAGAATTATATTAACCTTTTTTGCAACTGCATCACATTGTTGATTCATATTCAATTTGTGATTCTCTATAACCCCCAAGATCCTTTTCAGCAGTAATATCACCTATCCAGTTATTCTCCATTTTGTAGTTGTGCATTTGATTTTTCCTTCCTAAATGCAGTACTTTGCACTTGTATTGACTGAATTTCATTCATACCAATTGTCCAGTTTACCAAGGTCCATTTTCATTCTTATCCTATCATCCAAAGTGCTTGCAACTCCTCCCAGCTTGGTGTCATCCATAAATTTTGTAAGCACACTCTCCACTCAATTATCCAAGTCATTAATTAAAATATTAAATAGTACCAGACCCAGGACAGACACCCAAGGGAGCCCACAAGATTTGCTGTCCCAGTTTGACAGTGAACCAATCAACACTAATCTACAATTCCTCGGGTCCTCTGTGTTCCCTTTTTAAAAGATGGGTACTATGTTTGCTCTTCTCCAGTCCTCTGGGACCTCACCTGTCCTCCATGGCTTCCTGAAGATAATTTCTAATGGTTGCAAGAATGCTTCAATTAGTTCCTTAATGCATCCCAGGGTGAATTTCGTCAGGCCCTGCCGACTTGAATATATCTGACTTATCTAAATACTCTTTAACCTGCTATTTCCCTATTTTGGCTTGCATTCCTTCCCTCTTGTTGTTAATATTAATTATGTTGAGCATCTGGTCACAATTAACTTTTTTAATGAAGACTGAAGCACAATAGGCCTTAGGCACCTCAGCCTTTACTTGTTATTAGCTCTTCTTCCCCCTAAGTAGTGGACCTACACTTTTCTTTGTCTTTTTCTTGCTCCTAGTGTATTTCTAGAACAAATTCTTATTGCTTTTTATGTCCCTTGTTAGATGTAACTCATTTTGTGTCTTGGCCTTTCTGATTTTTTCCCTACATGCTTGTGCTATTCTTTTGTAGTCATCCAAAGTAAATTGTCCATATTTCCACTTTTTGTAAGATTTCTTTTTGATTTTCAAGTTATTCAAAAGCTCCTGATCGAGCAATATTCATTTCTTCCTATTCTTCCTGCCTTTCCAGATTGTTTCCTGTTCTGCCTTCAATATTGTCTCTTTGCAAAACTGAACTCTTTTTTCCTCTTAGATATGCTCCCTTAGATATGGGACTTACCTACATGTTCTCTGAGTTTGTTCAAGTCTGCTTTTTTGAAGTCCATTTTCCTTATTGTGCTGTTCTTACTTCTTCCTTTCCTCAAAATCGTGAAATCTATCATTTCATGATCACTTTCATTTAAACTGCCTTCCATGATCAGATTCACAGCCAGTATCCCTGTTTGTCAGAATCAAGTCTTAAAAGGCTGTCCTTGGTTACTTCCTCCACCTTCTGAAACAATAAGTTGTCCCCAATACTTTCCAAGAACTTACTGAAGATTTTGTGTTTTGCTGTATTACTTATCCAACAGATGTGTGAGTAGTTAATGCCCCCACCCCTCATTACTTACCAAATTTGAATGTTTGTTATTTGTTCTAGAAATGCCGCATCTACCTCCTCCTCCTGATTTGATGGTCTCAAATAGATCCCTACCATGTTTCGTTTCCCCATTAATCTTCACCCAGAGATATTTAACTGGTCGGCCTTTCACCTCCTCCTGGACCTCAGAACAACTGTATATATTCTTGATGTATAAATCAACACTTCCTCTTTTTTTCCCCTTCCTGTCCTTCCTGACCAAGCAATACTGCTCTATAGAAATATTCCAGTTATGAGGTTTACCCCCCTCAAATCTCAGTGATGCCAATTAAGTTACAATTTAACTTGTGTACTAAGCCTTCCAGTTCTTCCTGTTTATTCCCCATACCCCTTGCAGTTGCATATAGACTTTTAAGATGTTAAGCAGATTCCCCCACTCTTTTCCATTTTGTTGCTTCTATGACACTATTGTCATTTTTCATTCCCTCCACCCACATCTTCTAGTCCTCTATCAAGGTCACCTTTTTATATCTACCAGTGGGCTTTTGTCACTTGCCCCCTTTTGAGCCTAATTTAAAGCCATCTTCTCTAGGTTGGCTAGTCAGTGTCCAAAAATACACTTCCTCTTCTTGGTCAGGTGGACATGATCTCTTCCCAACAGTCCTCCTTTTCGGAATAGCATCCCATGGTCAAGGAAGCCAAAGATGTCCTGTCAACACCATCTGTAGAGCTTTGCACTCATCTCCAGGGTGCATGTGTCTCCGCCTAGGCCCTTATCCTCAACTAGGAGAATGGAAGAGAATCTCATCTGCACCCCCACCTCCTTCAGCCTTGCTCTCAGAGCCATGTAGTCAGTGATCATGTGCTATGGGTCAGACCTGGCAGTATCATTAGTGCCCAAGTGGATGAGCAGCATGGGATAGTGGTCAGAAGGACGGATGAGCCTTGGCAAGCTTTCTGTAACATCTCAGGTGCAGGTTCCAGGCAGGCAGTACGCCTCCTGTGTCACGTTAACAGATGGATGCTTCTGTCCTCCTCAGAAGGGAGTCCCTGACCACCACTATCTTATGTCTTCTCCTCTCGGGGGTGGTGGCCATGAGCCCCCCAGCCTTGGGGGAGGGGCAGGTGACTTCTTTTCCTCAGCCATTGGGGTCTACTCCTCTCTTGTTGCCAGCACAGCATTCTGGAATGGGTGACTCACCCTCTCTCACTCAGCCACCTATAATTGCTGGCCTAGTTAAAAAAAATTACACTGCCCTCACTTCAAAGAGCCCCACTTGAATTCAGGTGTTAACCCACCTAACTGCAGGACGATCTAGCCCAGACAGTCAGCAACTGAGCCTAGATTTCAACCACACCATACCACACAGCAAACCAGTAAATTAACCCAGAGTCCTACTAACCTGGATGACAAGATCCTAGCACAGAGAAGTGCTAATTTTTTGCCCGCCAAAGTTAATCAATAGCAGGAAGGCAGAAAACCCCAGAGATATTCAGCAGCTGGCTAGCTCCCTTAGCTGTCTTCCTCTCATCAGCCATGTGATGATGTCTTCTGTACTATAGGAATATAATTCATCCATATACACTGTCTCTGAGGAACAGGGTTGGCAATTATTAAGTGCTGCCATCTTTTCATATTTAAAAATGGAGAATCAATTTTAAAGCTATTTTATGGCATATGATTGCTATGTTCCTGGGGTGAATCTCTTGAGACCACAGGCTATATTAGGCAGCTTATGATGATGATCTACCAGTGTTCTGGGAAGGCTCCTGTGGAAAGAGGAAAATAATTTTTCCAGTCCAAAAAAAGCAGATTATTTTTACAGTTAAAAATGGTTCCTGGAGTCTCCGGTGAACTGGATGAAAATTTAGAAAGAACACACAAGTCATACAATGGTGTTAGTCTCAAAATAGCATTTTCTTTGAAATGATGTTAACTCTACCTTCCTGCATATCAGAGGAGGCTTTTCAATCAGATGCTTAGACACTTGAGCTGGACGAGGGAAGCAAAACTGGGTGGAGCGAGGATGTAGAATGCAGAAGGGAGGACCAGAGGCTGTAGCCTGAGGAGTCCCTCTACAGATCAGCTGCCTTGTCGGTCATTAAAGATTGAGAGGGGGCATGTAAGGAGAAAAGTCAGTGAGCAGCCACTCTTTGTAATATGCTTCCCAGGAGAGTTTCCAGTTAGAAATGGAGCCTTGTTGCAGGGAATTGAAGATGAATGGTAGAAAGGTGCCATAGAATAATGTAAGAGGGATTAAGAAACATTGTGTTCTGATTTCCCTATGGATTCTCCTGGGCAGTGCAGTCTGTGACCCCTTCTCCCAAGTCCTTACTGCATGAGGTTGCAAACACCATTTTCATGAAGGAAGAATGATGTTTTGACTTTATGATAAACTTCATGGCGATTTAGAAGTCATTTTTTACCCTTCTGTATT